GTCATTGCGGTGGAACATTGTTTGGATATTAATTTTCATTGCAGTTTATCGCACACCAACTGTTATAACAGGATATAATGCAGCAAACGATGCTCCACTATTCCAAATATAGCCCAGTTTCAATATATGATTTGGATTGTCTCTCGACCGTTAAAAGGCTAACCTATTTCACTATATGGTGGGTCAGCTAGTTCTGAAGCCTCTCTGTTTACGCACACAGGTTGACCACTATATCTGTGATATAGATTTTTGTTAACTTTGTTTGTATTTCTCCTGCAGGCCGCACCGTTCCCTCCAACACAACACATTTCCCCAAAAACCCAGCACCAATCTTCCTTCGAGTTGTGTGCTGGAATTGTGTAATGCTCAACCTGGGGAGGCTTCCCTGCTGAGTCGATTTCCTTTTCTGGGCTAGCTGCGAGTTGGCAAGAAGTTCCACTTATGTCCTGGCCGCGGGGGAGGTGATGGAGATTCCAGTAGCGTCCCTCCCTAAGCTTTCTCCCCTTGGTAGCTGTCTCACACTGCGCCACTTTTAAAAGATTTTACAGATCCTCGGCCACATACGCTCAGATCTATGTGTGCTACCCACTCTTACAAAGAAGACCAGATTAGTAGGATTAGAGGAGATTCACATATGTCCAGTTCATGCAATTGGTATTCAAAGCTTTACACTTTCAAAAGCACCAAGAGAGAAAAGGGGAGGAAAGTGTTCGCCCCACCCCCGCCCGTTTTGTGTCTTTTTTTTATGTGTTTTCAGCAGGCCTGCGAGAAACAGCGCAGCATCAGCACCGCGACACCGAGCTCACGTTTAAACATTAGACGCGTTTCAATAACTTTCGCTACAGTTCCGGCGAACTCCGACAGCTAAAACATCACAGGCTCATCTTTAATATTCATCACACCTTATGAATTTCTTGGTACTTTTTTTCACTCCCATATTTTCGATATAAGTGCAAGCCAAATTGACGAACGCACAGTAATTTTCAACAAAAACTAGAGTATAAACTAATGTTGGCATTCACCAGGCATCGCCTTCTTATGCATGCATTGGATTAGGCCAGTCAAATAGTTTTAAAGAAATCCAAATTGTCATTGATTTATTGCCACTGACTAAAGACAAAAGGCAGGCAACCAAAAGAGATGCTGTTTAATTTTTTACGGGTTAATTATTTATATTTTCATAAAGGATCCGTGGAATTGCACAGGAACAACAGTAGCACCTTAAAGAACCCGTGTAGGTCACACAATACAAAACAGATATAAAATAATTATTAAACGAAATAATTGTTATTCTGTAAGCAGTAGTTAATCTATGAACCAGCCAACTGTTAGATAATTACGAGTTTGCGTGCATCAGATTTCCATTAAGAATGTTTTTATTTTGCTCACCAATAGGGTGTGGCTGCAAAATATGTAGGCTAACACCGACTGGGCACTTTCTTTTTGTTTTTAAATTCAAAACTTACTTTTATTCACCAAAGACATGACCAAGAGATCATAGAAGACCATGACATGATAAGATGTAGGATGTAAAATAGCCCATCAAGTCTGCTCTGCCATTCAATGAGCTCATGGCTGATCTGATAATCCTCAACCCCACTTTCCTGCATTTTCCCCATAGCCCCTGATACCCTTGCTGATTATAAATCAGTCCATCTCACCTTTGAGTAGACTTAACATAAACTTATACTGAAGAAAGATATTAAACTCGAATTACCAAACACAACTAACGCTCATGAACTGAATGAGATTGTCGAGCTTCTGTCTAACACTTACAGCATTTGTCAATACAAAGCGAATTGGGTCGAAATTATGTGTGTAAACAGAAGTTATCGATGGAGGGCCTACTGATCAGTAACTCGAATATGGTAACGTGGCCCAAGACTTTGCCGACCTTCTCCATTTCAACGGCGCCTCTGGACAAATACGTTCAAACTTGATTCAAAAGTTTTGCGTCTGTGGTCCTTCCCAGTTTAGCGACAATTAGTCAGAGAGACTTCAAAACGAACTGGCCATCAAACTTTGTTCTTTGCTAAAGGAAATATTGACAGCCAGTCATTTTTCTTCAGGACTGAGGTAGTTGGCTGGTCAGTGAATAGTGGAGAGCTAGTCAGCGAGTAGTAGTAGCTGATCAATAAGTAATAGAGAGCTAGTTAGTGATTGATAATAGCTGGTCAGCGAGTGTTGTTAATTAGTCTGTGAATCGTCGTGAGCTAGTGAGTACTTGGAGAGTAGGGTCAGCTAGACAGTGAGCAGTAAAGAGCTAATCACATTGCTCTAAGCTTGATAAGGAAAATCATTATTCCTTACTGCCAGAACTTAAGCCACACCCGGGACGTGGTTTGTTCAGAGATAACAAGGTGTAGAGCTGAATGAACACAGCAGGCCAAGCAGCATCAGAGGAGCAGGAAAGCTGACGTTTCGGGCCTAGACCCTTCTTCAGAAATGGTTTATTCATTCCACTCAGAAAGCCATCTTAGGTTAAAATAGTGAAATCCAGTTTCAACCTACTGCGCACAGTAACCCTTGAGGAAGGGGTCAATGCCTGACAACAGTGCAGTTTAAGAATTTAGTTTACACATCACCCTCTCTATCGCTCAGATGTAGAATTGTGAATGCTTCTGCTTTTGGAAAAGTAGACTTCCTGTTTTTCAGAGGATTGGCAACACAGTTTGCGTTTGTTTTCTTTAATTTTCCCCTGTCTGATTATAAATTGTAGAAATGAATGAAGGCCCAGGGGAAATCTGATAACTCTTTACCCTCAGTGTACGCTTACCTTTTAATTATACGTTGGTGAAAGCACAGACACAACTAACAAAGTCACACAAACCACACAGATTTATAACACATCCACTCTCTGTGTGAAAAAATTGCTCTTTAGCTCCCTTTTAAATCCAATCCCTTCTCTCTTTAAACCTATGCCCTCTAGTTTTGGATTCTTCCGCTCCAGGGAAAAGACCTTGTCTATTTACACTATCCACACCGCTCATGATTTTATAGACCTCTATAAGACCACCCCTCAACGTCCGTCCCTCCAGGGCTGAATGTGTATATGAATAGGAAGGGGTTGAGAGAGATCTAGGCCAAATTCTGGCAAAGGGCACTAGATTTATTAGGGTATCTGGTCGGCATTGACCACTTGGACCGAAAAGTCTGTTTCCGTGCTGTATAGCTGTATGACTCTATGGCATGTACACACAAGCACAATAAATACACACAATTGTACAGGGACCATATACACGCTGAAACACAAATACACATTCAAGCGGAGATGCACAGACATCTGGGAGCAAGTGCAGATTCATAAGGGAACAGTTCGACTATCCCAAATGCTGTGGATGGGGACTTCCATCTCTGTCCGTAGCCGTGTGAATGTTCGATTCTGAAAGCAATGTAAAGACCATTTTCAGTTAGGGGAGGATATTCAGAAATCGCTGCACGCACCTTGCTAAGCGTAGAGGTACTACGACTAACCATTCAGCAGACTGGCTTTGGTGATCTTCCGATGATCGTTAAGTTTATGAGGTTAATGTACTACCTAGAAAATTCGATGACTCATTTAACCAATTAACTGTTTTACAATAACCGAATAGGATCTCAAACTATACACGGTCTGGTCGTTTACCCTGCACTTCGCTTGGAGTGAAACAAACCTTTCCACAAGTTACAATACATTATCGGGACGCTAGTCAATTCTGAACAGAACAAAAAAAATGCGGTGCACCGAAATCAAATAAGGAAACTTGTGACATTTATTTTAAAAGCAGAGCGAATTGTCTTTACAATATTTTCAGAGGCCAAGCAGTTGATTCCTCTTGTATTTGTGTTTTAATCTGTTTCTTAATAACAGTTCCTCTGTCTACACTCAGATTGTTTCATGATTGAAACCCTTAGCAAATAAGATATTCGCAGATTCAGTGACTCGGCTGCTGGAGCACGCTAGGAGAATAAACTCTGTAAGTTTTGTAAGGTTTCTAAATTGCGCTTCTCCACACAATGTTTTTAACTCAAGAGCTATGCGGTTTTCCGTCGCTGGGAGGCAGTGTGTTTCTCCTTCTCTGGATCGTTGTTTCACTCTCATCTCCCTTCCACAGGCTCTGCAATCCCCCGTTTCTTCCCAAAATGTCCCAGGTCCTCAGACGAATCGGTATCTCACAACAAAGACTTTGATGGAATCAGTTCTCCAAAGTATATTCGATTGACTGAATGATCATCGAAAAAAAGCCAGGCGTGTCTTTAACAATCTAATTCAAGACAGAGACACATCTTGTATTTACAATATGTAGAAAGCATGAGTGGGTTATTTACACATATTTTCTTCGAGTTGTATGTCAGTAATCGCGTGGTTCAAACGATAATAGTACGTCAGCAATGTTTTGTGCCAATGATGGGTCTTATCATAATATTGAACAGATGTAATCTACAATATTAGAACTCGAATAGAAACCGAGATCAAACGGCTGTATTTTGCCGAATATAGGCTTCGCTATGCGTCATCTCGTACAATTATAACTTTTAGTTTATTTGTATCGCAAACTTTAAGGTCCGGGCCAGGTCACGTTCTATCATTTAAATGTTCGCTCGTTGCGATGAGTAAGTGTCTCTCTCTATCTCTTCAGTTTGCCCTTGGCAGGGTTTCCCAGAATGAAAAAAAAACAATGAATATGAATAGGACAGAGCTAAATGGAACCGTCAAAGCTGCGCCGCCCTCAATGATCTCCACGTCATACTAACAAGACCATTATGTATAGGAGGGAGCTTTTGTTTCCTTGCACTCTGCACCTCTATAAAAAGCTTCTTTTAAAACCAAATCTCGCTCTACATCACAACTGCCCAAGAGGTGCAGCCTGCTCGGGGAACACTCCTGAGCTGGGAGGAGACACGGTGTGGGGTTTTGTTTTGTTGTTGCTCGTTTCTGTCACTGACGTTGAAGGTTGGCATCAAAACAAGGTCTCAAACTATTGACTAGAGAACATCTCATAATAACGAGAGGCAATAAAATGAATTCTGACTCGAGCTCTCTCTCTAGCAGAGCTTCGTCGCCAGACGTGGATGAAATTTGTCTGAGGGATCACTTGCAACACCAGGATTCCAGGATGAACTCGGTGTCTTCCACACAGAATGATCTGCTCCAGCAGCTCGCCAATGAACACAGCATCACTACCCTCAACAGATCCGAGGACAAGGCGGGAGGCAAGTTCAAAGTGAAAAAGCAACTCTCGGAGCAAGACTTGCAGAACCTCCGGTTAAAGATTAACGGAAGAGAGCGCAAAAGGATGCATGACTTGAATCTGGCGATGGACGGACTCAGAGAGGTCATGCCTTACGCCCATGGGCCGTCAGTGAGGAAACTTTCCAAAATCGCCACTTTGCTGCTGGCTAGAAACTACATCCTGATGCTGTCCAACTCACTGGAAGAGATGAAAAGACTGGTCGGGGAGATTTACGGCGGGCATCATTCTGCTTTCCATTGCGGGACAGTGGGACATTCTGTTGGACACCCAGGACACTCCACATCTGCCCACCAGGTCCACCCCATCTTGGGCAGTGCCCTGACCTCATCCTCTTCCTCAATCTCGGCTTCTCTACCGGGCATCAGTGCCGTGAGACCTCCTCATTCACTATTGAAAACGTCGTCCGCGCCCCCTGTACCGCTAGGAAACACTTTTCAGCACTGGGCAGGATTGCCATGTCCCTGTACTATCTGCCAAGTGCCACCGCCGCCTCACATCTCAGCCCTGAGCACAGCCAGCATGCCAAGGCTTTCTACAGATGGTAAAGACTTAATGAAGTAAGGTCTGATTTTGGCAGCTCCGCTTGTTATTAAATAAGGACGCCGCGTTGCATAAGAAGGCTGACTTTTGAGTTACATTTAAAAAGACTGGCGTTGTGTTGTATAAAGTTGTCTTGTCAGCCACCTCCCAACAGCCAGATCTGATTGCATGCATACTTGTTTTTGTTTTCCCTCTTTTTGAATTGTGAATTTTCAAATCGGCATCTTGTGTAGCCCAGCAAGTGACGAAGAGAAAATTCCTTGTAACAAGGATTTGGTACCTTTGTGTAAATAATTCCTCTCCTCACGGACAGACGCATGGGAAACGGTGCAAACGCAGTCAGAGACAGAATGTGATTTGCCAGTGTTTCGAATTCCTATAGTACAAAAGGTAATAAGATTACTGAAATGTAGTTGTTTAGCTCAGGCGTGTCTGTGTTGTCTATGTTTGCTCAGATCCGCATGGCTTGTGGCGTACAAATTCGTTGTAAAAGAAATCACGCGTTCTTCAACATTTGCTGCAACTATTTTGTTACACATCGAAGACAACAGTCGTGTCTTTTATTTTTGTATTATCTCAATGACTTATGGATATATTTATTAAAGCCCGGTGTCCCTGAATGATCACATTTCAATAAAAGTCATCTTAAAACGAAATTAGCCCGAGCGGTATCTTGTTAAATTTGTAACGCGATTTGTAAATACTTCCATTTGACCACTGCTTCCGGCCAGTCGAGTTGGAGCCGGTCTGCAGCTCACGAAAATGTTGAATTTCGATTAAACTCCGTGCAAATGATTAAATTCAACTTCCCAACCAACGATTTTGCTCATGTTGCGACAGTCAAACATGCCGTGCCGACTAATCTGAACAGTCTTTAACGATTGTAATGAGTGGCGTAGAAGATACCTATAATAAAATGTACCCAAACTAATGAGAGGTAGCTAATGGGGCATTAAAGATATAATTTATCAGCTGGTTTACGAGGCAGCTTACTTTGTTGGGACTTCCGCTATTAATATTGTATGTTGCGACAAATTTGACGTCTACTTTCTAGGTGCACATCGTTAATAGAGGATACGGTCAGTAGATTGACTAGTAGCAGCGGGCTTCACACTGTAGCCTGTGTTTCTATTCTATGCATTGTGAGGCTGCCAACCATGGGCACAGGCAGAGCCTGCTACCAAAAAATACCGCAGTTTCTTTAAATGCTGCATTGACTTATTCTATTATAGGATAAACTCGGGGTTCTTTTTTGATGCATTACTCTATAACTGCGAGTATCCTTGTCTTTGTGCTAACACTAGTATCACAGCCAGCGTAGAGAAACGGGACTGAGGGAGGTAGTGTTGATGTTAAAGATGGTGGTTAATTAGCTCGTTCCGTCCCTCTCTCTTATGAGTGCTCAGCTTCCTCTTTCCCCAGCCCCTTTGGCGGTAGGGATAGAGCCACATTTTGTCGAAAGCCACTGTTATCTTTTGCAACCTTGCTTAAAAATAATTCCACAATGCCCCAAAACCTACGGTTTCAGTTTAAAAGAAACTTCAGTAGTTTTAAATTTGGCCGAAATCTTCAAGTTCAAGCTGCTAAGGAGAGGATTGGCGGAAAGTGGGAGGCGCCTGTGTGTCCCCAGTGGTGGCACGCTTTGCAGAGGACAGGAGATGACTTGCACGCGAGGGGGACCTGGATTGGAACATTGAAATGCCATCCTCTACTGTGAATATACATCCCATACATATATTGAGTTCAGAATAAGACGAAGCATAAGACCTTGCACCTTTAGACAGGGCACTTCATAGTAGACAAAACAACGCTGTTTTATTTCATATCTGTTTGTTTTGTTGGGGCTTGGTGCTAGGTTGAAGATCAATTTGCAGATCTTAAAATGTAACGTGTAAATGCAACATGCCCCGGCTGTTTCAAGTATAATCTATGAGGATTTGAATCTGCAGAAACCGAAATTACACTACTTTATATCTCGACACGAGTAATACTTGAAAAAGAGAGAAATTGTTTAAATTAGGACTGCTGTCGTTTGTTGCCGAACAGAACCACACACCTACTGCTTTGAATTTCCAGATGGTGATTTCGTTACTTAGTTTAAATGGAATTTGATAAAGACTTCGTTATATTTTAAGCTTTCAACCCTCCCCCTCCCCCTATACATTTCTTTTCCAACTTTTACAGCCAGCACTTGACCAAAAGGCGGGTTTAGTAAAATACTTCATTAAATCATAAATTCGGAAAGGACAATAGTTTTCGGTCCACCTCGCCTCAAATGCACCCCTTATCCGACACAAAAATAAATCAGGAGCAGTCGCTGAGTAAATGAGAACACAAGTTGCTATGTTATGGAACCAACCCTTTATTTGTAATAGTAACGATCGGTGGTATTACTCAGGGGTTCAGACTTCAGATCGAATATACTTCCTGTTTTCTCCTGGCTGAGGAGACGAGCCTTTCCAAACAAACTTGAAATTCAAAACTGCAAGGCAGAGATGTTTTGATTCTATCATTTCGGCAATTAACCATGCTGTATGGCAGCAAATGAAATCCGTAAAAAAAGTTAAGCGCGTGATTTTCTGTGAATTTGTCACTTGGGCCTTCTTGATTTCACAAATGACCTGAGATTGGCAAGTGAAACACGATGCCCATTGTCGACGTTTAATCCGTAAATTACACGATAACATAAATCCCTCGATTGGAATTTGAGGCGAATGCATATTACTGTGGAGTCGGTGGAAATATTGCGATGATTGATTACAATCCAGCTGCAGAATGAATACAATCCTCCCCGCCTTTTATCTACCCATTCGGTTGGTTTCGAGAAATTCTAAATGTTTGTTTACAGAGATTGGAAAGTAATTGTTCTTGGTAAACAATATGAAGGAGTCCATCAGACAGTCAGCGTAATGTGCATTACACAATCGTTGATTCAGAGCGACTCTAATACAAGATTAAGTATTCCATCCACTTGTTAAATGATGGAATTGAGAGTGTGAATTGAGTCCCCAGTGTGTGTTTATAGATTGGAATGTTCTTAGTTTGTTTTCCCCTGATTTACAGTTAACACCGTCAGCGCAATAAAAGGTTTGTAATTTAAAATTTTGGTTTCGGCTGCAAACTACTGAAGAGCGGCGGAGGCGCAGAATGAACTGGCAGATGGAGCAAGATTAACTTTATGCAAATATGTTCCTTTTGTTTACGGCGTTAGCCAGATTACACTGAAATAATTTCAAGTTTTTTAAACCACACCCGCCCCACAAATCCCTCTCCACCACTCCCCCTCCCTCATACACACTGACCACAAAAAAGTGGCAACTGACGATTGCAGTGCCAATCTACTCATAAATATTACCCTTTTCAATCCTTCCTTAAAATATTTCATAGAACCGCAGAACTCGAGGTACAAATTTTGTTTTCTTGTGAAATACGGTAAATCATGAACGTCATGCTCCTTATAGATTAATCATAGTGATTTCGTCCGTTCAATTAAATTCTTCTGACGCAGAATATCGAATTATTATTTGAATTCACTTCAATTTATCATATTAAATTGGAAAATAACAGTTCCGATAACCTGTTTATATTTGCCCAAAATAATCACTGTAGTTGTAATCCAGTTCAGTATTGCTTTCTAGCACATAACATCTGTTAAGCTTTGATTTGATGTGTTTTTGTTTTACAAGTGTTTTTCTAGAATTTCAGTTAAATCGTTTTGCTGAGCAAGTTCTCTCGGTGTGATATGATGCAATTTGTTACTAACTGTCCGGAGATCGTTACTTGGATTATTTCGAATAAATTACATTGGTTTGAAATTGATTGGTGATCATGGGATCCGGAAGACTGCGGGTTACGTTATGATCTTGATCGATTTTGTTTTATTTTTATAAGCTACATTTGGCAACATCCCTTTAATTTACATAAACCTGACCACATGGGCAGGTCTTAAAGAGCTTTAACTATGAATTTGCGATGGACATGCAATGACTTTCGTTGCCTAGACAAAGGTTTCAACGATTAGAAGAAACAAAAGTTTTCTGGTCGCTTAGAAGTTCCCAAAGATCTGATAGTTTTACGTGATATACCGTCATCTAAAACATAATTGATAACAGCGCGATTTTAAAAGCTATAAATCAGAATACCTTTGTTTTGACTGAAAAGAAACCTCTGTATCTCACACTTACCGGTCGTTTCATCGCTAAACGAATATAACTACCAGGAAGGGCATTACATATTCTTCCCCAAAATCTGTAACAATCCCAATAGTAACACAAAGCTCTGAACTGAATGTATCATTCCCTTATTTTCTTTTTAAAATGCTGCTCACGCCCCAATACATCTCACCAGGGATTGTCAGAGCATTTTTGTGCTTGCTAAGTGGATAAATCTATTAAATTAGTTGCAAAATGTATCCCCGTTTTCTCCAAATTCTCAAAGGACACACCTGTTGGCTGAGCAGCTTTTAACCAGTTTGCTAAACCGATCTGACAGATCAAAGGATCCGGGCGACACACATAAACTTTAACAATGGACTGGCCCTTAGCAAAAGCTGCCGTCAGGCCCAGACTTGTGCCAGGGCCATTGAGCCTGCAATTGAAAATAAATTTTATTTGAATAATAAGGACCTCTGCCTGATCAGAGGGTTCCCCGGCGCTGAAACAAAGGCAGTTGGAGATAACTTATTGACTCAATTGATAGCCTGAATACAGTTCATTACGCTTGCCCACTCTTACTAAATGTGACAGGTTTTAAAAGTGAATTAGGCGGCAGGTGCACAAGCCATTTTCCTTTCCCTCTCGGGACAGCAGCAGACCAGATATCACCTGATTCCGTGCACACCCGTGTTTTCAGTTCGTGCTTCGCTTTTCCGTGAAACGAAATACTTAAAGGGGATTTTAGAAGGAGACTAGTGTTTCGATTACATGCTGTTTCTCTGTGCCAATGTCGGTGGTGAACGTCTCCAAGTTCCGGTGATGTTGTATCTCTCCGTTTTCTATAGCAGATGGTGTTCACTAGTTGGT